AATAGGTGAGACAACTGGCCTGGAGATTTAAGGTTACTCTATACCTATAGTCAAGGATCAAATAATATGTATTTATCAAAACTCAAACTTTCTATGTCATAATTACCCAATCTGTCAATCTTCTTTCTCTGTAAACATTTTCATCAATTTTCCATTAGTAAAGAATTCACTTCGGTAAATTATTTTTTATTATTGAAATTCTATAGTAAGTTTGTTTTTTGTTTTTTGTTTTTTCATTTTGTTTTGTTTTGTTTTTGTTTTGTTTTTTTGTTTTTTTTTTTTTTTAAATTGTAAACTCTAAAAGGTTATACTTTTGGATATAAAGTGAAAAAGGTTAAGTTAAGTTTGTAACTTGATTTATGAGGTTTTGCATCTTATTGTATAATTCAATTGCAGACCAACAATAATTACTAATTGAGACAAATGAATAAAACTCATTTTTGTTGAGAACAATTAAGACATTAGAAATGTGGCTCATTTTATGTTTCATCATCTTATGTATTTTTTTAATATTACAATTTGTTTTGTAGTTTCTAAATTTGATATTTTTACATTATTGGATATTGTTGTGTGGAGTAATAAATATGTTTTGAAAAATAGATAGATAATAAGTAATAAATATGTTTTGGAAATTAGATAGATTTTGTTAATTAAAAATAAAGAGTTTCCTAATAAAACACAATAATTTAGAAAGTAATAAATATTTTGCAAGAAAGGACCCAATCAATATTACCATTTTCTAATGATGTAGGGTGACTTTTTCTCCTTCACTACTGGTGTATAGCATCTATACACTGGCGGTGCATCAAATACTAATCCAATGAAGAAGAAGAGGTATTTTTTATTCCTTCTTTCCTATGCTAACTGAGATAACCAACAGATTGTTACTTTTTCATTTTTAGAGAGAGGTACTGCCATGTATCATAAAATGCAACAAATATATAAAACATTAAAAAAATAATAATTTTTCACTCATATAAAGACCATATAATTCCATTGCAAAAACATCATGAACCGGGTTCAAGGAAAATTGGAAGGATGGATGACGCGCTCTTTAAGCTTGGCCGGCAGACAGATCCTTACTCAGTCGGTCCTTAATGCAATCCTGTCATATGCTATGCAAACCATGCTCTTTCCTAAAGGGGTATGTGACTCAATCGACAAGACTACCCATACTTTTCTTTGGGGAGGCGACGACACTAAAAGATAGAGGAGGCCTTGGGATAAAATCCATGCGCAATCTAAACTTGTCCCTATTGCCAAATTAGGGTGGCGAGCCATGAAGGAAAATAACAGCACCTGGGCGAGGGTTTTAACTAGTAAAGACATGAAGACTAAAAGCAACATTGCAAACATGAGGAGGATAAGAAGTGATTCCAATGTATGGAAAGGAATTTGTGTCGCGGCACCCCTGCTAGAAAAAAGGTGCCATGAATGTGGTGAAAATGGGAGAAACACTTTGTTTTGGAAGGATCGGTGGATTGGGAACGAACCTCTCCGAAACTGGCTAATAGGACCCCTCAACAAAAATGTCGAGGACATGCGAGTTGCCAATGTTTGGGATAGGAGAGGCAAGTCGAATTGGGACCGCATCGACATGGGTATCCATCCTGAAATAAGGACCAAGGTGGAAACATGAGTCATTTTATACGGAGACATAAAGGAGGGCGCCATCGGCTGGGGTCTAATGGAGGATAATTCTTTCTCGACAAAATCAGCGTACGACCTAACTCTACCCGAAGGCAATGGGCTGGATAATGCAGAATGGGGCGAAATCAAGAATCTGTGAACCCCTAACTAAATTCGTTCTTTCATCTGGCTAGTCAAACATGGAAGGATTTGATAAGATTATGAACAAGTGATTTATTGATGAAACCATAGGCAGCTATTTATAGCTGTACAAATGAGAAAAGATAGCTAACAGTTATAACAACTAGTCTAATAACTATTATATAGGAGCTAGACTAAGGCTAAATACAATAACAGAAGATATCAGCCACACATATCTTTAACACGCCCCTGCAAGATTGAGGATCCGTCGGAGACTCCAATCTTGGAACGAAACTGAAGAAACAAGGACGGGCCCAAGGGTTTGGTAAGGGAGTCAACTAGCTGATCTTTGGAAAGGATTTGCCAAACAACTAGTGAACCATTAGCAACCAAGTCACGAATAAAGAAGTAAAAATCAAGGGCCAGATGCTTCATACGCGAATGGAACACCGAGTTCGTGCACACATAGGTTGCGCTAAGATTATCGCAGAAAAAAAAAAAAAAAAAAAAAAAAAAAAAGAGGAGGTCTCACCAGCTGCAATCGAAGCTCACATAGCAAATTCCTTGCATTTGCCGAGGCTCTGTACTCAGACTCTGTGGACGAGCGCGACACGGACTTCTGGCGAGCGGACTTCCAAGATATGAGATTGGAGCCAAGATACACTAAGTATGTAGTGGTGGAGCGGCCATCAGTAGTGCAACCTCCCCAATCAGCATCCGTATACACAGTCAGCGAAAGTGGTTGCCCAGCCCGAAGAAACAAGCCATGACAGACTTTTGTGCCCTTCAAATAGTGCAACAACCGTTTAGCAGCCTGCCAGTGCAGCTCTGTAGGTGAGTGCATGAACTGCGAAAGACGATTGATCGCATAGGATACATCTGGCCTAGTGATGACAAGGTACTGCAACAAGCCGAGGAGACGCCGAAACTGAGTGACATCAACCGGTGTAGAACCAAACGGTGCAGGTAGCAACTTGTCCGAGGTAGCCAGCGGTGTTGAAACAGCCTTTGCACCATCCATCTTAAACCGAACTGGAATATCAGTGATGTACTGACTTTGAGTCAGAAACAGTCCAGTTGACGATGAAACGACTTCAATACCCAAAAGATGATGTAAGAACTAAGGTCTTTGAGAGCAAAACGAGCTGACAGAGTGTCAACAAAGAGATTAAGCCAGGCGACATCATTACCTGTTAAGATAATATCATCCACATACACCAGGAAATAAACAATGACATTATTAGCGGAATAAACAAATAAAGAAGCATCCGCTTGTGACTTCACAAAGCCACACCGTAACAAGAACTGCAATAGCTCCAAGTACCAAGCCCTCGGTGCCTGCTTAAGGCCGTATAGAGCTTTAGTCAGCTTGCAAACATGGGATGGAAACGAGGGATCCACAAACCCCTGTGGCTGGTCCATGAACACCTCTTCATGCAATGTCCCATGAAGAAACGCATTTTTGATATCTAATTGGCGCAACGTCTAGCGGTTACTCAAGGCAACCGTCAAAACCACATGAATGGTCACCGGTTTCATAACCGGGCTATACGTCTCAAAATAATCGCAACTAGCAGTCTGGAGGAATCCTTTGGTAACCAACCGCGCCTTGTACCTGTCAACCGACCCATCCGGCTTGCGCTTGACACGATAAACCCACTTGCAGCCAATTGGGACAGTTGCTCCGCGGGGAACCAATTGCCACGTTTTGTTACGCTGGAGCGCTTCGAAGTCCTCATCTATCGCTTTCCTCCACCGAGTATCTTTAAGAGCCTGGGCGACGGTAGTAGGTTCTAAAGTGGGAGGCAAGGGATGTGACGTGACTTGGTTAATGACATAATCGGAATACCTAGGATTAGGACGACACGTCGACGCTCCCGGGTAGAACCGCGAACATTTCTCAACAGTTGAGATGTGTCGGAGGTGGAGACAGGCTGTGAGTTAGACACGGATTGAGCTGCATGTTGGCCATTTTTTGGAATGGTGAGAGACGACGAATTGGACGCAGCTGACGGTGACGAAGTTGGAACTGGTGTTGGAACTAGAGTTGGAATTGAAGTAGGAACTGGTGTTGGAATTGGAGTTGGAACTGGAGTTGGAACTAGTGTTGGAACAGGTGTTGGAACTGGAGTTGGAACGGGTGTTGGAACTGGAGTTGGAATTGGTGTTGGAACTGGTGTTGGAACACCCATGATCTCTACCTGTGTAGACAAAGGAGACGACATGTACAAAATATTGCGTGATTCTAAACCATGGGAATCAGAAGGTAAGCTGTTAGACGAGTTTTGCAAATTGTTATAAGGAAACACATGGGGCACAAATCTGACATGCCTAGATACATAAATACGGTTGGAACCAGGATCCAGACATTTATAACCAGACTGAGTGCTCGAGTAGCCGAGAAAGACACACGGGCGTGACTTTGGTTGAATTTTGTTAGTGTTGTAGGGGGGTAACCACGAAAAACACAGGCAGCCAAAGGGCTGCAACTTATCATAGTTAGGCAACTGATGGAACAAAACATAAACTGGAGATTGATTACCTAAGACCGGTGTTGGAAGCCGGTTAATAAGATAGGCAGCTATCTGAAAAGAAAAGGTCCAGTACGAGGACGACAGGGACGCAGTTTGAAGAAGAGACAAACCAATTTCGACGACATGGCTGTGTTGGCGCTCTGCAACACCATTATGCTCAGGAGTATGTGGTGGGGGTGGAAAAATGAGAAATACCATGATCATTTAGAAACGGTACAAGTTTTATAAACTCTCCCCCATTATCTGAGTAAACGGAAATAATCGAAAGGCCAAAAAAATTTTCCACTAATCTTTTGAACTGAGTAAAAATGGAAAGCACATCTGACTTACGCTTCATAGGGTATAACCAAATGTGTTTTAAAAAATGATCGTTAAAGATTACATAATAGTGGAATTCGTCAATAGATTTTTCAGTTGGCCCCCACACATTAGTATAGATTAGTTGTAGCGGTTTAGTACTAACTAGAGTAATTTTTGCGAAGGGTTGTTTATGAATTTTATGCATATTGCAGGACGAACAATAAAATTGTCGCAGAGACGACATAGAAACTAGAACATTACAGCGGTGTAACACAAGTTGCAACACCTTATTAGATATATGGCCAAGCTGTTGGTGCCACTGAGACAAACGCGACATTTGTGTAGTGTGTACTGATGGGTGAGAAGCAACCGGACCATAGTAAACACCATCATTGTTCACTCCCCATAGTAGAGAAATCCCCGTTCGAAGATCCTTGACAATAAAGTGGGAATAAAAAAATTCAACAGACACACGATTAATCTTGCATAGTTGGGATATAGACACTAAGTTAGTGTGCAACTGAGGAACACGCAAGACATTTTCTAAGGTAAGAACAGAAGATGAAGTAGGGATTACAGACCTACTAATATGAGATATTTGTAGGGGATTGCCGTCACCCAGGCGCACTTCATCAGGACCACTATACTCGGAGAATGTCTGCAACGACTTAATACTAGGGGTGGCGTGATGCGATGCTCCACTGTCAAACAACCAGGGTGGAGATGCCTGCGCAGAATGGGCTGTAGGCGATGTAGAAGTCTAGGTGGTGATAACATTGTGTTCCCTTAGGAACCTAGCCAGCTTGCGACATACCTTTGTTTCATGACCTGCAAAGTTACAAAATTTGCATATAACCGTAGGGCGATGAGTACCCCATTGTTGCCAAGACGTACGGTTGGTGCTGGAATTAGCAGTATCGTTGTGATATTTCCGACCATAGTTGGATTGCTGGTTATTCCAAGAAGACGAGGTCCGCTGAGTGGCATTAGCTGTTGCCAACAGTGATTGGCGTGTATCATCAGCAACCTTCAGCTGGCGTTCATGGTCAGTTAGAATATCCACCAGCTCACCCCACGAGATGGGCGTTTCACGAACGCGGACTGCAGAGATAATGGAGTTGTACTCCTCTCCAAGCTGCGTCAACACATACACGACCAAATCTTCATCAGTGACTGGACACTGAGCAAGAGCAAGGTCATCAGCGATAGCTCGCATGTCAGTGAGGTACGCCGTAATGGACCGAGAACCTCTGGGGTTTGTGGTGAGCTTTGCCTTGAGGGAAATGATGCATCCTCGAGACTCGAGAGGCACTAGCGTAACTGGCAATGAGATGTTGCCATGCATCGCGGGCTGTTGTGGCCGAGGAGATGACCAGCTGAATTGTGTCAGTACAGCTCCCTAGAAGTGCACTGACAATAGTTTGGTCTTGGCGATACCAAACGTAATGACTCGGGTTGGCGATGGTGTTCGTGGAATCGGTGAACTTGGCTGGTTCCTTGATGGAACCGTCAACATATCCCAGGAGATCAAGCCCAACAACAGTAGTGTGGACTTGCCGGCGACATACTGGGAAATTCGTAGCTGTGAGTTTGATAGGGAAGTGTGTAGTAGCATAAAGCTGGATGACTTCAGTGGTGGCCGGAGTAGTAGCTTGGGTGGTGGACGCCATTGAGTAGGAAGGAAGCAAGGGGGAATAAAAAAAATGATAGTTTCTTTCGTAGGAGATTTTAGACTCTGGATACCATGATAAGATTATGAACAAGTGATTTATTGATGAAACCATAGGTAGCTATAAATAGCTGTACAAATGAGAAAAGATAGCTAACAGTTATAACAACTAGTCTAATAACTATTATACAGGAGCTAGAATAGGACTAAATACAATAACAGAAGATATCAACCTCACATATCTTTAATAGGATTATGTGCAACACGGAGAGGTGAAAGCGAGGGTTCATAGTAGACGAACGGTGCAACCTCTGTGGTGCCAAAAGAGAAGACGTGGAGCACACGATTAGGAAGTGCCCGGCAGCTGCGGAAGTATGGAGACGCACCAACATGCTAGACAGTACAAGTACATCTCTTTCATTGGATTTTAATACTTGGCTTAAGACTAATGTGGCAGGGAACCAAAGTGGTTAGAGGGGCAAACAAAAGAGCACCAGGTTTGCAATCACAGCTTGGTGGATCTAGAAATGGAGGAACAACTTCGTTTTTAATGGAGTAGAGAAGATAGTCGATAAGAAGGTGGAATGGATCCATCGCCAATTCAACGAGGTTGAAGCAGCACTAGAGAGGAGTGCCGGCCCCGGAGGTAGACAAAGCAGGGACAACAGACGAGGCCAACCTTGGAAACCACCGGACACAGGGTGGATTAAAATCAACATCGATGGGTGTGCTGGTAAAGGAAACCAGGCGCCATGCGGAGACATTGTCAGAGATGAGAACACTACCTTCCTAGGAGCTTTCTCGAAGAAGATTGGCACGTGTGGAACTCTGGAGGCGGAGTTGTGGAGCTTGTATCTGGGCATGGAGAAGGCCTGGGAGATGGGTTTAAGGAAGGTTATTATTGAATCAGACTATGCGATAATAGTTATCAAGATGGTAAATGGAACGGAGGAGTGTGATGTGCCTGCCGGTAACCTTGCGGAACTGTGTAGAGCCGTGAAAGATCGAGCATAGGAAATCTGAATAAGCCATATAGCAAGGGAGCAGAATATAATAGCGGATACTCTCGCCAAACATGCTTGCAAATATAAGGAAACGCCAGGATGGCTAGAAACCCTCCTAGGGAGATCCAAAAGCTTTTGCGTGAAGACAGTTAGGCCTCTTAGGCACAATGAATGTCGTGAGGATCAGTTAATGATCTCGGATGTACTCCTCCCCTTTCCCCAAAAAAGGATCGTATAATTTTAAAAATATGTATTACTTCATATACATTAAAATACTTTTTTTTTTATAAAGATTATTAAGATGATAATACAAAAATATTAAAATATAATTATTTTATGTGCTTTTAAAAAATAAATAATATTTTCTTTTGAGTGTCAAGGAAAATCCGCAGTCACTACCCGATTGTGTATATTGTGTAAATTCCACCTTGTGACGACTCTAAACGGCAAAGGACCACAAGGTGGTAAATCAGAATCAGACTTATAGCCTTATAGTTACCAAGTCAATAAACTGGGGTTGCCAAAAAAACAAATACTAATATTTTGAGACTTAATAAGAAAAAAATATTAAATAAAGATTTTTTTAACACTTATGGGATAACTTTTTAAATAGTTACAAGTGCATTCCTCTCCAAATTTCCCTTCTTATATACACTTTTTTACGTGGTAATTTATGATTGGTTCTTTTCGTTTTTGATTAATAAGTAGATTCATTTTTAATAGAATCATTTAGGGGTCCGTTTGGAAACCTGAAAAATGTTTTCCGAAAAATGATTTTTAGAAAATGACTCATTTGGCTAAATGAAAAACTAATTTTTTTTGTTTAGTATAAAGTTAAGAAATTGCATTTTGACTGTTTGATTCATTTTCTTGAAAATGAACATATAATAATAATAATAATAACAACAACAACAACAACAACAACAATAATATGTAGTGGTGGTGGTGTGGTGTGGTAGTAGTGGTGGTGGAGTGATAGTGTTGTGGTGGTGTTGGTGTTGGTGGTAGTGGTGGTGGTGATGGAGATGATGTTAGTGGTGGTGTTGTGGTAGTAGTGGTTGTGGTAGTGTTGGTGTTGGTGTTTATGGTGGCGGTGGTGGTGGTGGTGGTGGTGGTGTTTGTGATGGAGGTGGTGTTAGTGGTGGTGGTGTGGTGGTGGTGGTGTTTGTGGTAGTAGTGGTGGTGGTGTTGTAGTGGTGGTGGTGGTGGTGGTTGTGTTGCAATGTAGTGTGGTGGTGGTTGTGTTGCGATGTATTGTGGTGGTGGTGATGTTGTGGTTGTATTGCAGTGTTGGTGTGGTGGTGATTGTGGTAGTTTGGTGGTTGTGATGATGGTAATAATAATAATAATCCAGAAACTAACTTTGAAAAAGAAGAGAGGAAAGAGATGAAAAATAAAGAATTCAGAAAATGTCTTCCGACTAAAAAACTAGGAAGACATTTTATGCCAAATAAATTTGAAAAATGACTTTCAAGTCATTTTTCGAGTTTTTATACGAACCCTTAATTTAATGTAGTCAATGAATAAAATGAATTTTATTACCATATTAAAAGATGAATATTACTCCGTAGAAGATAAAAGTATGATAGAAAAAATAAGATTATTTAAAAAAAAAAAAAAAAAAAAAAAAAAAAAAAAAAAAACTTATTACGAATGCAATGTAGGTATATGTAATGTTCACATGGCTACGCAACTTCCATTTTACCTATTCTGTTTGCTATTCATGGGCTAAATCAACTATTTTTTCTTTGCTTATTTTTTAATACTCCATATTTTTTAAAATTTTTATGTTTACTAGTACTTTTAATATAGTTTATAAATATATAAATTATATATACTAATATTAAACTTAACATTATGAAAAATTGAATTAAATATAGTTTCAATATAACTTTATTAATTGAACTAGACACATAAAATAGGACGGAGAGAATAATAATTAAGCATACCCATCTATTATTTAGAAAGAATAGATTGTAGGTCTACTTTTAATTTTGAGGTTACAACTATATATAGAAGTGTACCATGTAGCCAAGCACTTTGTGCACAGATGGCACCCGGGTTGGATTCTCATATGGGAAGTTATGAATTCGAGTCTTAGTGGAGGCGTAGCACTTTGTGCTTTAATAGGTTGAGAAAGTTAGCATTCAAAAAAAAAAAAAAAAAGTGTACCATGCAAAATTACAAAGTATATTTAATGATATGTAAATGCAATCAATATTATTGAACTTTTACATATTATTAGATGTATTTTGTAATTTTGCGTGGTGCACTTTTAAATTTTAAAAAGTTTGTAATATTTGCTACCATTTTTTTCTCTTACTTTAGAATTGTTGATTATCCTATATTAATTAGGGAGATTATTGAACTTTTACATATTATTAGATGTATTTTGTAATTTTGCGTGGTGCACTTTTAAATTTTAAAAAGTTTGTAATATTTGCTACCATTTTTTTCTCTTACTTTAGAACTGTTGATTATCCTATATTAATTAGGGACTTGGATTAGTTTGTAAATTATTACTTAAAAGACCTAGTTTCCTGATGTGGACAAATTATTGTGTGGACCATGAATATCAGGTACATTTTTAATATATTAAAAGTACATTATTTTTGTACTGAATGTACATTATTTTTTTTACTGAATGTACATTATATAAAATATTTTTGTGGACTTTTGATGAAACCTGATTTTTTACCCTAATCAGTAGAAGACCACAATGAAATAAACGGCAAATTATGCAGTGAAACTATGTCCACCTTGCAAGGTGGACACGATTCGAAAACTGCCATAATTGTGAATATAGAGTTCTATAATTATGAACATAGAGTTCTGTAATTGTAAATATAGAGTTCAATAATTGTGAATATGAAATTCAAAAATTATGAACATAGAGTTGAGTAATTATGAATATAGAGTTTTGTAATTGTGAATATAGAGTTCAATAATTGTGAATATGAAGTTCAAAAATTATGAACATAGAGTTTTATAATTATGAACATAGAGTTCTGTAATTGTGAATATAGAGTTCATTAATTGTGAATATGAAATTCAAAAATTATGAACATAGAATTTTATAATTATGAACATAGAGTTGAGTATATGAACATAGAGTTTTGGAATTGTGAATATAGAGTTCAATAATTATGAACATAGAATTTAGTAATTATGAATATAGAGTTCTATAACTATGAACATAGAGTTATGTAATTGTGAAGGGAAATTATCTTCACACCACCTATTTTACTATTTGCACCCCTTTATTGAATAGGTCAAACCACTTTATAGGTGGTATTAATTAAAAAGTGTTATTTGCACTACCATCATTTAATGTGGTCAAAGACAAATATTTATTATATATATATATATATATATATATATATATATATATATATATATATATATATATATTAGAGGTGGCCACGGGCCGGTTCAAGGTCGAACCAACTCTGAATCGGCCCGAAAAAAGGTGGGCCTGGGCCTCACTGGGCTTGAGCCGGCTTAGCTCGAACCGGAACCGGCTTATAAAGGGGCGGTTCAGGTCCTTTTTAAAAAAATTCGAGGCCCAACACGGAACCGGCCCATGGCCCAGGCCCGAGCACGGCCCAGGCCCCTAACTGGCCCAGGCACGGGCCCGGCCCAGGCCCGGACCTAGGCCCGGCAAACACAACT